TCAGGGCCAAACAACCATGATTTCTAGCTGTTTGGGTTGAGAGACCAGTTGTCTGGGCCATGGCCAAGCAACTGGAATGTTGGCGCATGCCATGCACGCACAATGTATTTTTCTTCTTATAAAATTTTTGCGCTCCATCAGGGACGAAAGTCAAAGTTGGTATTAGTCAAAGTAAAGAGGTTTGAATATTTGAGTGTTTGGTAAAGTAACATAACAGAATGAGGTGGGTTGGGGAATGCAAGATTTTCTTTTCCTAGTTTAATGAAGTGATTTTATTTTAAACATATATGGTTCTTCAGTATCTAAATTTGTTCCTGCTATCTTCTGATTTAGATGTTATGTATTTAATGTTTTGCATGTTAAAGTTTACAATATGGATAATTTTATTTTCAGGTTAATATTCTTCCCACTCTGGACATTCCATGGAGTTGTTGCTCGAGGAAGATTTGCATTACCTGCCCCATCAGTTCCACGTAATCGTCATGTAATATTTCCTTGTTTTATTTTGGGGTCATGAAATATTTAAATCTATCATTATTTGTGAATATGAAGTGTTGAGCTTTTGTTTCATGAACAGTGGGCGCCGTGCCATGCAGTTGTGGCAACACCATTGCTTATTGCATTTGAACTGCTTCTTTGTATATATCTCGAAAGTGTTTATGGTATATATACCAAACGCCCTCTAGTATTTTTATGCTGTTGAGAATTGACACGTGATAATAACCTTTTCAAGTCTCTTAGATTTTGTATTTGTCATTATATAATAATGTATGTCCTTAGGCCTTCAAACTTTCTTAATGCTTTATCCTCTTTTGCAGTTTATCATATTCCAGCTGTAAACTTGAAGATTGTCTTTATTCCATTGTTGGCATTAGAAATAATTACTTTTATTGACAATTTCAGGTATTTTCTTTGGATTATTAATTCATCTCAGTAATTTAAATTACAAATAAGCAGTTAATATCCTACATTGCTTTTACATAGTGCAAATTGGCACTGAGAACTTTTTGTAACTGGCCATGCCTTTTATTTTTTAACAAGTTAGCTCTAAGTCATATCCAAGCTTAAAAAGCATGCATTACTATATTGGTCAAATTTTAACTTTTCCTTCATTTTTTATGGACAAATAGAATGTCAAATTATTGCTACAAGGGCTTAAATTAGCACAGTATGCTCTATGCTTTGCCTTGATTGTTCTTTTACACTTAAATACTTCTTCCTCCATAGAATTCAACCTTTTCAGACCAAGAAAAGATAATTAAACCAATTGTACTAATAAAAGATAATGTCCAGAATTTCCAACTAATTGTAAGTTCTGTTCACAATTATGTTTGCCATCGTATTGTCTCTGTTGGTAACTAGTGTAGATGTACTGTTTTTCCAGTTTACATTCAACACATTGATTAGCCTCCCTTCCTCCGCCCATATCCAAGTCTTCTTTCTAATTGGTAAATACTATTGTGCGCCCATTTCATTTATTGTGTGATACTGTTAATGGAGTTTTATTTCTTCTACAGAATGTGTAAGGCTCTAATGCCAGGGGAAGAAGAAAGCATCAGTGATGAAGCGATATGGGAAACATTGCCTGTAAGTTTTTCATAGTACTAACTTGGAGATCTGTTCAAAGCATGCTACAGTTTATTATTTTGTCTGTTGCTTGGAACTTATTTAGCAACATTTACTAAATTTATTTATCCCTTTCTTTCCCAAAACGAACGTAATTACTTTCTTGACTGAGAGTAGGTATTGGAAATATTAACAATCGAAGAGAGATTCAACAACTAAAAGAAAGATTGATTCTTTGGGATCCTTCCTTTCTTCAAACAAAATGAACAGAGATAGAATCAGACCGATTCCCTAAATGCCTTTCTGGATATTCCTCAATGTCCCAGCAAACACATTGATTTGGAACATTTTAAACTTCAAGGACTCAACTTATTTGTTGAAAGTAAATAAGTTTTCGTGAAATTATGGTTTTTTTGGAAAAAAGAGAGATGTCTTTGTGTTCTGTGGTTTGCATAATTCCAAAATGTTTATCTTGCTATAGACACTATTTTCATGCAGAAATCCTGCATGCAATGTTTGCAAGTTTATAGTATTTTTTATATACCTATGATCAGGTGCCACTGTCACAAATTTGGCATTTTCATTTTGGTTTGCAACTCACATGATGGTTTAGGTTGTATATGAATCTGTTCAAGGATTAATGAACTTCCATACTATTTTTGTAGCATTTCTGGGTTGCAATTTCCATGGTTTTCTTTGTGGCTGCTACAGTCTTTACCCTCCTAAAGCTGTGCGGTAATCTTTCTTAACTTGTATTATTTTTAAATATAATAACATTGGTGCATTCAAATTAGTTCGGGTTGTCGTTTTTTCCTATTACCTTGTTTTGATTCAGGAATCGGTACCATAACATTTATTTCATCTTTTCAGATAGTCATGTTTACCACCCAAATTTCTATTAATTTGATTTTTTTTATCTTACATGCATACATCATAGTTGTCAGCATCATGTTGTTATTATTATTATTGGTATCATTGTCATCGTTGTTGTTGTTACTACTTTTTTACTTTTGTGGAATGGAAATGGAGTAATTGGACATCAAAAAGCCTCTTTTTAATTCCACAAGTAATGGTGATTAATTATTTAAAAGCTGTTTCTTGAGAAAACACAATCTAACTTCCTCTGGAATGGGCTAAAGACAACTTCGTGAGTTGGAGTTGGCATATTGGAGCTATGTGTGTCACTAGGGTCATTTCAGGCTTTGTAGAGGAATTGAATGTTTGGCAAGTTCAGGTTTTTGATAAAGAAATATGGAGCTGTGGAATTGTACTAGCTAAATTTTCAGTTTCTAGAGGTATATTCTTAAAATGCTATTGATAACCACCTGAATGATCCATTAGAAAGGATCCTATTTACATGGTCTGAAAGTCATGTGTATCTGCAGTGAAGGTTTTTTTTTTCCAGCAAATGATCATTTATCTGGTGAAAATGTCATTGGATCATATTTCATGATAAATTAGCATCCCAAATTGAGTGGTGTGACAGGGTTGAAGGTTCTTTTCAATGAAAAACTTCATGGTCCTTGCAGAATGCTGAGTGTCTAGTGAAACAGTAGTTCTTTGAAACATATCTTAAAAACCAACATTTTTCACACTTCACGTAGTTCATGCTTTTATATGTCATTAAAATTGTGTCTGAGTGCACTCTTCGCTTCATTGGATACCAACTCTTCCTCACTGACATTCCTTATTTGGTTCCTATAATTGTTACATCAGGGGATCACTTTCCATATAAATTAGCACCCCAAATTAAGTGGCTTGGTAGGGTTGAATGTTCATCTCAATGATTTGAATTTTGTGTTTGTAATGATAAATGTATAGACAAGCTGTTGTTCTTAAAACATAGCTTAAAAATAAAAATTTTGTGCAGCTCATGAGATGCATATTTTTACATGTCATTAACATTTTTGTGCGCGTGCTGCTGTGCACAAGACATGGCATTCCTTCCTTCATTGGATGTTAGCTCTTCCTTACTGACATCCCTTACTTGGTTCCTGTTTTTGTTATAGTGGAGATCATAATTCAGATATCCCTTCCCATCATATGATGGTGGTCAACTGCTTGGCGGCAGAATACGTTCATGTACTATATATGAGACTACACTTCAGAGAGAAAATTACTTTATTTCTTCAATTTTCTAATTGATACTTTGAAGGCTGTGGAGGTTTATTCTTGGAGTAATGCTGTGATGTCTTTGCTTTGTCTAATATAAAGTCACTTTGGGGGCCTGTTTCCTAACCTGGATAGTGGAAATTGAATTATGTACTTTCTTTGCCATTGATCACACTGTAACAGCTAAACTTGTCCTTTTCTGTAATGTGGGCAATCCTATCTATACCGAATCCTTGCATGTGTCCTACCAATATAATGACTGCTTTCTGTTTCTTTCTTAAAACATTTCAGGTGATGTGGGTGCGCTTGGCTGGTGGGACTTGTTCATAAACTTTAGGTAAGGCTGTATTGATCCTTTCTTTCCAATTGCTGTTTCTCTGTACTGCTTCAGAGTTCAGACATAATAAAGCAGGAGACATGCTTTTAGTGCCACAACAAAGTGATAAATAACAACATTTTTTTCTGCAGCATTGCAGAGTTCTTTGCCTTTCTCGTTTGTACTAAATGGTCTAATCCAGTGATCCACAGAAATTCTCAGACAAGAGAAGTTAGTTCTTCTTCAACAACCATTAGATATCAAGATTGGAATGGTGGCTTAATGGTTTCTCCCGAGGAGAATCAACACCAGGACAGAATGTGTGGTCTGCAAGAAATTGGTGGCCATATTATGAAAATTCCTTTAATTGGTTTCCAAGTTCTCCTTTTTATGCATTTAGAGGTACTTGTGTAATTGACTTGTGATCATGGCTGCTGGATGGGATTCTTTTATTAGCAGATAATGGCCTTTTTTATTTCAGGGAACACCTGCTGGTGCTAGAAATTTACCGTTTCTGGTTCTTTTCTCTCCACTTTTCCTACTTCAAGGAGCTGGTGTATTGTTTGCTGCTTCTAAGTTGGCAGAAAAGCTTATTCTTTTATTGCGGAGCGAAGCTGGCCCAGGAAGATATTTTAGATTTTCCTCAAGAGCTCATGACTGCTTGGGGTTCATGCATCATGGTTCCAGGTAATCACTACCTTTCCATCAAAAAATTAACCTGTCCAGGCAAGGTTGTCACTCCACTGAACCAATGTGAGTATTTGATGTGGAATGGTTACTAACAGAAGAAACTGTTCTGCACATTCCAATTTGTTAATACAGGCTGCTGGGCTGGTGGTCAATTGATGAGGGAAGTCGAGAGGAACAGGCTCGATTGTACCATGGGCGAGATGCTGGGTTAGTATATCATTTTTCCCGTACATTTAATAATGGCCCATAAATTGCAAAAGTATTTTTTTCTTTTTTGAGCATTTGTCATGTTGGATGACATCCTCTGGCAAGGTCAAGTGAAGAAGGACAAGGACATAACAATAGAATTGAGATATTTGAAACTGGATTTTGCACATTTAAACCTAGGAATCTGTAAGCTTAAATTTGAATGGACTGCAGTATGAAATTGTTCTAGGAGCTGATAGATTTTTTTCACACACACACACACACACACACATATATCCTTGGAAGTTGCTTAGTGTGGAAAAGTAGGGATGGGAATTTCATCGGGGGTGTTGTGATTAGTTATATATTATTATGTCAAGGTTAGTTCCCAACCTACACCACAATATGCGTGTGGTATTGTGGTGTAGGTTGGGAACTAACCTAATCTTCAGCCTCTTTTCCTCGGTTGCCTCTCCCCTTTGTCACATCTTTCTTCTCCTTCTCATATCTTTTTCTAATTCTTATATAATCTTTACAAAATGACATTGTATCAGAGCATAACAGTCTAGATATAGTGAGTTCAAACTCAAAACTCTTCTAACAGCCTCAACAGTTCCCTTGCTGACTTCAGCTATATCAGCATGACATCATCACACTTCTCAGGTTGTCGCCTAAGAAATGCCTCGGCTTCATGATCAAAATCCCCAATGTTCAACTGTCAATCATTGTTCCCTTAACTGCCAATTTGTCAAGTTAGGTGACGAATCTTACTTAACTGCCAATTTGTCAAGTTAGGTGACAAACTTGGAAAAGTGACGAATCTTGAATCTTGAGAATTATAGGGCTGTTTGTTGTAGTAATTAAGCATGATTGCATGTGATTGAGTTAGTAAGGTGCTATGTGGTTTTTGGCTGGTTGGGCTCTTGTGGTGTTCAGTTATTTGGGGTCAAAATGGTTTGGATGCCTCTCGATGGAGGATCTCCTCTTTAAATAGTGAAGTACCAACATAATTACATTCTAAAATCACTCCTGGACCATAATTACAATTGTCTATAAATCAATCTCCCTAAATTAAGTAATTACATATCAATTAATCTCCCTAGATCAAGCTCTCTAAATCAAGTAATTGCATATAAATCAATCAAGATATTATAACTAACATCCACCTCAAATTGATGTTGGTGGATTACAAAGCATCAATTTGTAAATCATGAATTAATGTCAATGACAAGATAGAGCCTTGGTAAACATATAAGCTGTCTGGAACTTAGTGGAAAAATAAAGGAGAGTAATCATATGTTAGTCAAGTGCTTCATGAATAGAATGATAATCTACTTCAATGTGCTTGGTGTGCTTATAAAAGATTGCATTAGCAGCAATTTGAATGGCATTGGTGTTATCAGCATGAAGAGAAGGAGTCAGTTAAGGAATCCCTAGTTCACTCAACAGACTCTGAAGCCAAACAATCTCAGAGCATGCAAATGACATAGCATGATATTCAGACTCGATTGAGGATTTAGAAACTCTATGCATAGCTTGTTTCCAACATGCTAAGTAGAAGTTCAAGAGTAAAACTTAAGTACAGTATTAGTATTAAAAGTATCTTGAAGAGTTCTATGAGAGAACAAATACCTATATGGAGGATGTGAAATCCGAATGACCGAAGAGGTTCAGCCAAGACAAGATCAAGTGTTGGAGCTAGGTCATGCAATGGAACTGATGGACGACGTCTCTAATACACAATTCTTGACTTAAAACATTCAATATAACTTGACATATCATCAAAATTAGGAAGACCAAAAGAAAGACTAAAAGAAATATTGATTTTCAAAGAAGACCACAGTTTGACAAATACAAAGTTTATTAGCATCTGAATCATAAAACACAAACCCCTTATAGACATTTCTATATCCTAGAAAGGCACATTGAACAGATTGAGTAGCAAGCTTGTGTCGTTTAGTTGGTGGCAAGTGAAACAAACGCGACCAAATATATGAAAAGAATTATACTCTGGAGCAACACCAAATAAATGGGAATTCAAAGAATCCAATTTGAGAACTTGAAAGGGTAGCGATTAATCAAATAAACAATTGTAGATAATGCTTCAAATCTAGTTGGTACATAAGACTCGATTAACAATTTATGAACATCTAAAAGGTGACGATTCTTACACCTTGTAACCTATTCTATTGAGAAGTGTATGGACAAGAATGTTATGAGGGAATACCCTTCATTTGTAGATAAGATGGAAAGTCATTGGACATATATTTCCCCTAGAATTAGATCTTAGAGTCTTAATACAAGTATAAAATTGATTTTCAACAAAGGTAACAAAATTTTGAAAAACTAAAAACATAGTAGCTTTAGAATAGAGAAAATATAAGAATGGAGGAAATATACCTAAACAAAAAGACTATAATTATCAATAAACATCACAAAATATTTATACCGAGCATGTGAAATAACGAGATTGATGCGCACACATTGGTATGAATGATTGCAAAACTAGTGGAAGCCTCATTGCCTTAGAAGCAAATTATCACATTAAAGAGGGTGAAGGCAAGGTGGTGGAGAAAGGGAGGTTTTAGAGGTTGGTTAGTTGATTGATTTATCCTTCACGCCTATCCTAATATAGTTTATTTAGTTATTGTAGTTGTCAGTTTATGCACGATCCCTGTACATCTCACCTAGATGTTGTTTATCACATCTTATGTACCTAAAATCAGCTGCTGGGAATGGATTGTTATTCCCAATGACATTTAAAGGTAGATGCCTTTATTGATGCTAATTAAGTTGGATTACCAAATGAAAGAAGATCTACATCAAGATATTATACTTTCTTTTGTTGTAATCTAGTCTCATGAAGTGTGAATTTTATGGTTTAAAAACCTGATCTATGAGTTGGGAATGACAAATGATGATCTTATATCACTATTTTGTGATGATCTCACAATTTTGGTCAACATGACCGGATGAAGAACATCGAGATTGATAGGTGCTTTATTAAAGAGAAGTTGAATGATATGACTATCTGTATTCCCTTTGTGATGTATAAAAATCAATTAGCCAATATGTTTACTAGTGGACTTGTTTCACTCTTTTTACTTGCTAGATGGACATGAGATATAATTATGCTCCACTAAATTGCTATATTATAATGTCATGGATAGTTATGTAATCTCGTGCTCCTTCTTCTATATATATATTCTTTGCAGTGTAGGTTGGGCATTAACCTAATTTGCCTCCTTTCCTTTTCATCTCTCATTTCCCTTTCCTTGTTTTCGTATCTCACATCCTTCTTCTCTTAAACAAATATTAACAAAACATCAAGGGTACCCTTCTTAGTACTTCTATTATATTTTAGATTGTTTGTTCATACATAAATAATTTTTTATTTGTGAACTTGCATTTTGAACTTAACTTTTTTTTTTCTTACGGATTTTATCTTATAGTGGAGGTTTATTAATTTTCATGCTTTAAATTTTTAGGATGTGATTTCCAAAATTATTTCTTTTTATTTATTTTCTTAAGAACTTGGGGTTGGATTGGGTACCCAATAGGTGGACAAAGCTCTCCACCTGACCTAACCTGATCACGTCAAATGTGGAACAGATAATGGTTTTATTTTCTTAAGAACTTGGGTTGGATTGGGTACCCAACAGGCGGACAAAGCTCTCCACTTGACCTAACCTGATCACGTCAAATGTGGAATGGATAATGGTTTTAGGTATTCTGGGTAAGGTTCAGCCCGTGTAGGTACACTAAAAACCTGCTCCGCTCCAATCCAACCCTTCTCCATCTCTTAATAGAAGCAAATAACTCTAAACCTGCATTCAGTAGTATATAAGCAATACAATTTTTCTGGAAGCATTCCTACAATTTGAGTTATCCATGTTGACACCAGATATTCTTTAATGTCATTTTATCAAGCATCCTCAATTTTGCATTTTGAGTTTTCTCCATCAAGTGTGCAAATTTGTGCTCTTTACTAATATTTGTAAATTTGTTTCATTGATCTGCAGTTATAATACTTTCTGTGGTTATCCTCCTGAGATAGTGAAGAAAATGCCTAAAAAGGATCTCGCTGAGGAGGTGATTTAGTTTTCATTTTTGTTCGTTGTATGTTATTTGTTGCAATGGAAAAATTTCACATATACATATAAGCATGCTCTCTTTCTCTAGGCATTTGTTTAATCTTTGATTGAACCATGGATTTTTATTGGACAATTCAAACATTGATGATGACCCTCTATTGTCTGCTTTTGCATTAGTATACGATTCTGTTATATTTCAGGTGTGGAGACTGCAGGCAGCTCTTGGTGAGCAGACAGAAATCACAACATACAGCCAGCAGGAGTTTGAAAGACTTAAAAAATGTAATATTCTCATCTTTTGCTGATGGTCTCATAATCAAGGGACATGGTTTGAAGGTGTGAATATTATAATGTCTGTTATTTGGAAACCATCAATTTTTTAAAAAAAAATAACGATAGCACCCTTGTTCCATGAATTTGAACATTCTTAGTTGAATTACTCATTTCTGACATGTGGATAAGTTTGATTCACTTTTTACCCAAGGTTTGAAAATTAAATTTTTTTACTTTTTGTGCCAGTGTTCTGGGTTTATTGATGAAGTAAAATAATTTTCAGAATGGTTAACTTTCAATCCAAAGTAATTCTGAACTTTTCATAATATCCATGTGAAAATCTGTTAGTCCCCAATTGGAAGATGGAAAGGAGCCTGGAAGAAACACTCAGCCGTGTTTACTTGTGGAAAAGTTACTCTACAAAACAGAAAACTAAAGAAAACATGTTTACAAATTGAAAATTAAATGTTTTTTTCTTGAAAACGTGCATTTTCTATTTTTCTAGTTCTGTGGAAAACTGAAAAACTCAAAAAGGTTGTTTTCCCGATTCTTCACTATAAAATTAAGGGCTTCCTTCGGTTTATCTAATTTCTTATGTTCATTTCTTCGATTGTTTTGAATGTAAGCCAAATAATGCTCTTGTTTTCTATTTTAGAAAATTTGTATTTAATAAATATGTTTTACTGACTTTGATTATCTCAAGGAAAGATATTTTAATCAAGAACCTGAAACTCAGTCTCCAATTTGTCAATTGCAACGTGAAATATGCATGTTGAATTACAATAACTGTAATAATACTGTCACAACATTACACATACTTGAAAAACAAAGTGTTTGGGAATGCGGTTGAAACAGCGTTTTCCAAAAAATTAATTTTTTTTTGGCTTAAAATTATTATTATTATTTTATGTTTTTAGATAGTTTTGATGTGCTGATGTTAAAAATAAATTTTTAAAAATAAAAAAACATTATTAAACTGAAATAATGCATCACACTAATTTCCGAATGAAAAACATTTTGAACTACAACCGCTACCACATTCTTAAAAACAAAATGCTAAAGATCCAATTAGTTATTAAACTGAAAGACATCATAATGCACTAATATCTTGGAATTTAGATCTACAATGCAATTTTCTTAAGCATAGATTTTCAAAGGGGATCAATGTATCACACTATATTATTTGAAATAAGTCATAGAAAAGCTTCATGCATTGCAAAAGATCCTGCTGTGTCTGCTCTGTTGTCTATAAATGATGGGAGTTTACTTGAGATATTCTGTTGCTTGAGTTTTCATTATTCTGTTGTCATCATGAGATATCTAAATACTATTTTGATGTACTGGTCAGGAAAAAGTTTTATGTAGGGTGTGCTTTGAGGGAGAGATCAGTGTGGTTCTGCTCCCCTGTAGACATCGTATCCTTTGCAGGTATGGCTGTAACTTGGTATCTGCTAAAATGTAAAGCTCTTCTTGTCCCTTTTCTTTTTGTCATGCTCATTGATTCTTAAATTTATTGCAGCACCTGCTGTGAGAAGTGTAAAAAATGTCCAGTTTGTCGTGTCTCTATCGAGGAGTGCTTATCTGTGTACGACGTTTAGCTTCTAACCCAGCAGTTTCGTAATATGAATGATCAATTGGAGTCCACAGATAAGGTATAACAGTTTTAACAGGGAAGTTCATTTTGCAGCTGATCATAACTTCTACTTCTGCATGCGCTGCTTGTTCAAATTAACATGATCATGCATTAGGGACATACAGGGGACATGGTTGCTTTACTTGTATTTGTACCTTTATTTTTCTTCAAAGAAAACAAATGAAAGTAGTATGTAGTTTTTTATTGGTAGAAGATGCTGATATGTTTTTGCCATGCCACGTATACCCTCTAGACATTTAAGAGCTGTATGTCTGTGTATAGAAGTGAGTGTTGAGGTGGCTGGGACCTATTTTCTCTTGGCATTGGAAGCTTGAAATACATCATTACGTTCTAATGTAGATACATTTACCCTCTTGGGAAACGTTTGTATGTTACCTTGCAAGTGATAGTTTGAGGATCCCCATCGTAGTTTCAACATAACTCTCTATAGTGATACTAATTTTGACTTGTGAGATACAAGTTAAAGAACGACTTCAGGGATGTCAGAAAATGAGATCATAACACCTATACGAGTTTATTCTACAAAACAGGCAAAGATGTGCCATGAGGCATTCCTGTAATATCAGAGGTTTAGTCTCTGTTTTACGCCTAACTAGATTTTGGAAGTTGATTTTGAAGCATTCAGCTCGAGTTTATTGTGTTTGATTAATCTGTACAATCAGCTGCTGCTTGGCACCTTTACTATTTGCATTTACCAATTTGTTACCCAAGTGCCTTTACTATTTAGCAGCAAGTCCAGAGGTTGCCAATCACATTATTTGCAGACGACAGGGACATGTCTTTCTTGGTAAACAAATCTGAAGCATGCCAATTTGAAGGATTCACTACTTTTAGAAATCCAGGTAATTCAAGAAATATGCAGTATTATTGGTAATGCGGCATCCTTGTTAACGCAATTAAAATAATGCAATAAATAGTTATTGTTGCTAGAGTTGACAGCATCTTCCTATCCCAGCAGCCAGGAAGGATTTTCAATAGATTTTCCGTTACAAACATTAAATCACGAGTGAATGGAAAATCTTCCCCCATTTATCATGCTGTGACAAATAAAGCTTCTGTTTAGGATTTGGCATTATGATGCCACTCTTGGTAGCTGGCTTGGTAGTTTCAAATTGCCCGTTAGCTGAATTGCAAAATCATTGAAGCAGTTATCAACGGTCCGCAATGATGTGTCTGGACAGATTATGCACACTTTAAACACCGGCTGGCTGATCCATGCGGTAGTTTATTTGGCAGCTCTTTATGAAAATGTCTTGAGTAATTGCAGCAACTATGCTCTGTGGGATCCTCATCTCTGCTTACATGAAAACTTGGTGTAAGAATGCTTGCCCAATATCCTTCATGTGCTTGCTCTAATCAGGGGCAACAAAAATAGATGGACATTTGACTCTGGTTTTACTCTTAAAAAACGAAATCCCCTAGTTTACTCGCCTTGTTAGTTCAATTCAACAATGATTGGAGAATTACAAAAAACAAAAAAACTAATATTTAAAACCAACCTTTGGCAGCAGCTAGTAGATCGTCTTCTGTGATGGTGAATCTAGGAAGCTTGTATCCAAAATCATTAATGCTCAGCGGGTTGCTCTGTGGGCTTCTCAAATAATCATTATGTTGGGGTCACAGTTTAATAACGACATTGTTGGGTTTGTATAGATTTTAAAAGTATATGGTGAACAAGGGTAGGGCAACAGCATGTAGTTGTTCGTTTGTTGGAATATGCAACTTCGGAGCTGTCAATACAAGCCCAAGCCATTTTTGCTATGGTAACTTCTGCGCTATGCTTTTTAACAGACTGCTTCCCCTTGAGAGTTTAGACGCTACCTTAACAGTACCAGCTGCCTTAATAGCATTAACAAGCGTGACTTGTTCTGCCATGCCTTTTCATTCATTGATGGAGCTCTAGAATCCACCATCAAGAATTACAGAACCCTAGATTATTGTCATTGAAAACTTTTTTGTTTTGAATCTTGAGAGCAAAACCCACAATCAAGAATTATAATATTTATCCAGTAAAACTAAAATCAGATTATAAAAGCCCTTGATTACTTAAATCAAGAACAAAAAATATATGGTTAGAATGCCACAAAGATCATTTTCTTGAAAATTAATTTGTCTTCGCATCCTCAAAATCAAAATAAAAGGTATTTATATGTTTGATTTGAATAAAAATAATCATAATTAACTATAAGCTAAAAATTAATTTTAAACAACCAACTAATTTAAAAGTATAGGTAAACAAAATAAAAGCCTAAGTCTTGTATAAATAAAAGTCCAACATATATTCTAGACCTTATCGAAAGGTCTTTTCAATATTTGATTTATATGAACTATAACTCTATAAAAAATAAGGTTTATGAAATTTTCTACAAAAATTTAAGATTGATCAGATTGTGAAATTTTCTACAAAAATTTAAGATTGATCCAATGATCAGATTGCAAGTTATGACTATTAATATGAATATGTATAGTCAAGCTCTAGCACATGTTAAGCAACCTCATCTCTTGCTTGGATCACATTGATTAAGATTTGATTTTCATTTGAACTCATATTCATGCTTTATACCATTTTAGAATGAATTCTTAAAGCTTACTCAACTAAAATATTATGAATCAGTCCATTCAATGCCTTTTTGATCCTATTAGCTCTTGCATATGTAATGGATTTTATAGTGTTACTTGTTAATTCTCATGATCTTTGATAGTGTCATTGAACTTAATCTAATGGGTTAATCTTAAAACTTTTTAACCCGATTTCTTTTCTAGCTTAAGCTTCAAATTAAATCATTTGGAGTTATCTTGACATGACTTAGTTGATTTTATATGTCCAAGATAACCAGTAAAAATATGACTTGGTTTTACAAAAAAAAAAAATCCAAGATGACATTCTTTTTTAAATATTGAGACGATGACACATCGGATCGCTCAAGTTTCGTAACTTAACTTGCTAAATTTGCAACATAGATCATGAACTCTATTAATTTGAATAACTTTCTTTAATTATTTTTTTACTTAATTATATGACCACAAAAATATATACATATAAAATTGACCTCAAATCAAATACTGAGATATTTATTTGAGACCATTATAAAAAGCAAACCAAAATAAATCATAAAGTTCGATTCAACTAAATTGATCTTGATCTATTTTTTTAGGCATGTTGAGAGAAAAAAACACCACCATTGAAATTTTCTCGTCAAATAGAACTCGTTGACATTAAAAAAATATCATTAACCTTATTAACTAAATTCATAAAATGACTTTAAGGTATCATTTTTAGTTTTTATTTTGATTCCAAAATATTGAATGGAAAAATAGAACAATTTAAGAAGGGATTTCGTATTCATTCTCAAACTTTCAAGTGCTATTAACATTGTAAAAGATAAATAAAAATCACTTAGATATAGTTTCTAGCTTCAATTACAGAAAATGATAAATAAAAAATGATGATGGTGATGATATGAAATGATTGCTCTAACTTTTTAACAGACATGGCATTCCAAATAAAATGAGGTTTAGCTATGCCTAACTGATTAGAATTTAAAAAAATATTTTTATCAAGATTTTATATCATCATTTTGCATTTAAAATATCAATAACTCCTTAACTAAATCATATTTTATAATAACATATCTAATAATATAAGATACCTTTAATTTATGGTAAATATTCATCTTAAATGCAAGCCTATCACATAAATAAAAAGATTGATTGATGAGTTAAAAGTATTGAAATTGAAAGGACAAAGAGAGGGTCAAACTTAGAAAGATGCTGATGCAGTCCAAACGGGAACACTTTCGGTAATTGAGTTATATTTGGAGTTGTATGATTAGTACTTAAAAATATTTTTTTATCAAGGTTTTATATCATCATTTTGCACTTGAAGTATCAATAACTCCTTAACTAAAACATGTTTTATAATAATATATCTAATAATATAAGATACCTTTAATTTATGGTAAATATTCATCTTAAATGCAAGCCTATCACATAAATAAAAGGATTGATTAATGAGTTTAATTAGATCATATATGGAGCTGCATATCTTGGATTTAAGTCTATTTTATATGGATAGAAAGGTAAAACATAAGCCTACAACTTTCATATGTGGGTCTGATTTTAATAAGGCCGTTTTCAGGAATTTCATAGTTTATTAACAACCTCAATCTTACACACCTAACTTGGTAAATTTTTGTAATTGCATTTTGAGCAAAGCAATAAAGTACTTTTTCAATTTTTCAAGAATGGTGTCAATTTTTTAAGATGAGAAGAGGAAAAGAGATTAAAAAAAAAAGAGAAGGAGCAAGGAATTGAACAAAAAAACAATGTCCAGGGAGTACCGACTTAAGAGTCATGGAGTACCGTTATTCATCATTTAACCGAGGTGAGAGAGACTAGCAAACCAAGAGGCATAAACAAAAAAAACAAAACACAAAAATAATGTGAGAAAAATAAAATAATCAAAATTTATCTACATGATCATTCAAACCACTAGATTCATTTTTACTAGGAAAATTATCAAAGTAAGCTTTCAAACAATGTCCATTTACCTTAAAAACATTATTATTCTTTCGATTCTAAAATATCAAAGGCCCTATAAGGATACACATGTTTCTCAATTAATGGACTGCTCTATCTTAATTTTAGCTTTTTAGGGAATAAATGGATTCGAGAATTATAAAATAAAACTTTTTAACAATATTCACAAGTTTTGCAGAATGCATACATGTCCTTGAACATGGTAGGCCAAAAAAATGCATTTTGAAAGATTTTCGCAACTGTTATTTTTTACAAGAAATAACTTCCACATGCTTTAGAATGACAAAGTTTAATGACACTACTTACCTCATTGTCGGGAATGAATCTTTGAAATATTTGATCAGGACAATATTTGAATAAGGTAGGGTCATCACAATAAAAATTCTTCACTTCGTTCAAAAACTTTTCTTTGTCTTGGGTACTCCAATCAGTTGGCAAATCTCCTAAAGCAAGAAAATTGATATTTTTATCATACCAAGGCATTGGACTAAGAGAAAGTAAGGATTCGTGAGGAAAGTAATCATCAATTGATATGATGTCAGATGTCGAATCTGTTGTCATTCTTGATAAAATATCTGCATCAACAGAATCTGTTGTCATTCTTGATAAAAGATCTGCATCAACATTTCGGTGCCTTTTTCATCTATGATTTCTTCCTGAGAATAAATCATTTGCATATCTTCAAATTCATCAAACTCTATTTTACTCACGATAGATTCAAATTGATTACAAACTAATTCATTAATAAGATCTATTTCCTGTGAATTATTATAATCTCCAAGTTGTTTGCAAATGTTAAAAATATTCATCTCCAATGTCATGTTTCCAAATGATAGCTTCATCAGTCCATTCCTACAATTAATCAATACGTTAGAAGTTGCAAGAAACGGATGTCCTAAAATAACAGGAAATGAATTACATACTTCAACAGGTTGTGTGTCCAAGACAATAAAATCCACAGGATAAATGAATTTATCGACTTGTACTAACACATCTTCAATTATTCCTCTAGGCACTTTTACAGATCTATCGGCAAGTAAAAGAGATATAGAAGTTGGTTTTAACTCACCTAGATTGAGACTCTGAAAAACTGAATATGGAAGTAAATTCACACTAGCACCAAGATCAAGTAAGGCTCTTTCAATTTTATGCTCTCCAATAAAGCAAGAAATTGTAGGACAACCAGGGTCTTTATATTTCAAAGCATTATTGTTCTGAAGAATAGCACTTACTTGTTCGGCTAGAAAGGCTTTCTTTTTCACATTCAGTTTCCTCTTCACAGTGCATAGATCTTTCAAAAATTTAGCATAGGAAGGAACCTGTTTAATAGCATCCAGCAAAGGTATATTGATCCTTACCTGTTTGAAAATTTCATAAATTTCAGAATTGTGATTGACTTTCCTTTGTTTGGTCATGGCTTGAGGAAATGGAAGTGCTGGCGGTGAATCAGTCGTTTCTTTGCAATTTTCAGATTCAACCCCTTCATGATCTTCTCTAAGGTTGTACATACCTCCACTAGATGTATGAGGTTAAGTTTTACTTAGCA